GACGAGGCAAGCCACTGAAGGTTGGGGGGAAGTTTCTCGGGTCTCAAAGACCCACTTGCAGAGAATGTGCCACATGAGATCGAGTGAGATGGAGCGAATGCCAAAATTGAGAATCAATCAAATCATTCCAAGTGAGCCTTTTTCCCTTTAAAAGGGACGACTTTTTCCACAGAGAATGTTTGGAACCAATGGTCCGAAGGTCCAACATGGCAAACGTGGAGACCTGGATACAACGGCTGGTTACTTGGTCAATATACAAAGGATTGCCAGGATTGCCATCATTCCTGTTAGCATCAGAACCCTGCTGCAGTGGCCCTCTTGGGATTTTGACATGGCGAATCTCACCCCTGACGAACGCTTCTCAGGCCACCAAACGTTGGCACACGATTGAGATGCACCAGCCGCGTGAGCTGCCAATCCACCCCTTAGAACACGGATCAAAAGATTACACAGGGAATCCTCTTGTGCAGTGGCAGGAATCTGCCCCAATCAAATGTGTTGTTCGTTAAGCGGTTTCAGAGAGGCAGAGACACGTCTTGTACCATATAAGTTGCAAGTGCATGGTGTTGTACAGCCAACACTTTGATTGGATTTGTTGGTAGGGCAAAGGGGCAAACTCCGCCTACCGTTTTAGCTCCTTGTATATTAATATTGTTTTTCATAATTTATACCCATAGCTTACTTAGGATGCGCACAACAAACATCACCTGAAAGAAACAAAATACTTACACTAACACTCTAAACGTCAGGGTCTGGAACCATAGATTCCATGAAGCTTGGTTGCTCAGAATGTCAGCAGCCTATGAAAGGACTGCCAAGCTGCATGTCTCAGAAGACATCGTTCTGTCCCTGTCTTTGGTATATTATCATACACAGCAATATACACACAAGGAGAGTCTGAGCCAACCTGCGTGGGCTAAAGTTCCTTACGGCGCGTAGCTCATCTCCTGCCCCCCGCAATTGCGCCCTGTTACAATCCACTGAGAAGCGTCAGGATGGGATTTGCACACCCGGCTCTCCAGTTGTCGCCACTGGGACAGGTGATCGCCAACTGGGCAGGACATCAGTCCCCAAACACCAGGAGCACGGGCCAGTCCTTAAAGTTTCGTTAGACTTCAAGTCCGGGGAGTTTGGGCTTCGAGTTCAACGGTCGCTGGCAAAGAGGTCAACGCGGTGCACATTGGCCAACTGCGACCTCCCGCAAGTCCTCTGTGCTACCTACTATTTTGCCGCTCTAGCGATTTTTCCTGTATGCCACATGGTCGCACTCCCTTCTCCCAGCCCATTGAGGGCCTCTGAGAGAAAGGAGGCTGCGCCAGCGATGGTGGCCATCGCACCTCCAATGTTCGCAGTGCAGGCCTGCCATCGAACACATTCAGTTCAGCTCAGCCCTTCGGCATTTGTCCCTTTGGAATCATGATACCTAATTCCACTCCTGAATGGGACTAAAGCTCTTGCTGAAATGGCCTGGCCGACCATACCTGTGCGCTGATGCTGTGCACCTCTTAGAGATAGGATACTGCATTGAGCTGCATTAAGGGTCAGAGTCCGTTGCCCAAAAACCTCAAAATCGAAAGAAACGGCTACACTGTGCCTCGATCTTCCGCTCCACACCCTTGGAGCCGTTTGAGACAAATCGGCTGATGTTTCTAGAGAAATATCGAGAAGAAAAAAGGGTGTCTGGGTCCCCTTCTATTTTCTCCTGGACCGATTCCGAAGTATCCCAACTGCACACCCTATCACTGACTCATCATGTGCTGTCAAGCAACTCCGAAGCCGCAGGTTTGCACTCCAGCCGTAATAGCCATGCCCGCCTGAGCCGTCATTTTAGGGTTGGAATGGGCTGGATGAACATAAGTTCTTCCAAAAAAATAACTAGACCTAGAGAGTTGCTTTCCTTATGCGTACAAGATAGGCCCCACAAAAGAGGGTGGCTGGAGGCCTGTCGGCCTGGCCTATCATGACAGTATTATGTTGAAAGTCCGTTCACTGCTGATCAAAGCCCTGATTGGATGAATGTGAAAGGCTTCCCCTTCGGAAAAGACACCGGATGCCAAAGGGTTCAAGAATCAAAGAAGAAGACAGCGCTCTCAAACTAAGCTGCAACTTGCACTTTGAAACTCAACTTGTTCAGGCAAAAGATCAAGTGGAAGCAACAAGAGGGCAGCTGCTAACTTCAAGAACTTTCCACATTATCATTAGGCCAGCATAGACCCCACACAGTGTCAGCAATAATATGTTTAAGTGTCAATTATAGCCTCCAGCTGTTTGGGAACAGCACGAAAACAACAAATGTTTGAAAACAACAGTTCCTCATGCCCGAGTCACATGTGAAAAACGAAGGGATGTCATGAGGATAATTTTAAATTTGAAACACCGCATCACTGTTGCATTCATAGCTACTGGACAAGGCGATGGATAAGAAAAAGCGGCGGGGCCAAGCAGCGGACAAGGCCCAGACAAGGCTGTGGTAAAAGGGCCGCTTGTTCGGCCCGGCCAAGCAGGACACACGCGGCCAACAGAACAGACAAAGCCTGGACTGGACGATGACAACGTAAATTGTTTTGGGAACAAAAGGAGGACACAGGGTTTGCCAGCGTGGCCAAAGAAGAGCAGGAGGACAAGAAGAGGGCAACAGGAGGACAACACCCGGACACAAGGTTTAAGGGCGCGGCCAAAGACTGTGGCCAGCTCTTTTTTTCCTAAGAGAGAACCCCAACTGTAAACTGTTTGGGAAAAAAATAGTCTCAATTTCTCATGTGTACACAGTTTACAACATTTATAATGTATACTTTTTTGTGTGTGTGGTCTTCGTCTTCCTAGTCTAAGCCTTACCATGCCCGCGAGCTCCAGGTTCCCCTGCGGAGGCCAGCTGATGACCAGCCAGCAAAGCACTGAAGACGCACTGGGCAATCTCCGCCTTCCTGCCCTTGCCAACGTGATGGACCTGAGGTCCGAGTGCTTGGACCTAAAAGAGGACCAAAGATCGCTTAAGCTGCTTGGATCTTTTGTGCCTCAACAGTGTTTGTCCTCTAAAACCGTCGACCTGAAGCCTCTATGCCGTCTATGCCACTATGTAATTCCAGCCATGCAAGAATCATGCAAGGGCGACGCAGTCAAAAGGCTCCCCATTTCACAGGCCCGGACCACATGGCCGTCAATGACCGTGGTGAACTCGTTGTTGACTTTCTGGCCAAGGCATACCATGTGGGTGCGGGATGGTGTGGGGTGAAGAAGGATCCATACCCTGTACAGTAGTACTCCAGCTGTTCGTTTACGCCTCCCAAAACGTGGCCGGCTCGGCTTGCAATCAATCTGACATCTCGCAGAAATTGACTTTGCATCACATATGGACACAGCAGGAGCAAATGATCAAAATCTGGGTTTCCTGTTGGTTAAAACCATGAAGGGGGAAGTCAAGCTTGGGCCAGGGGTCTTGTAGGTGACAAATGCTAAAGGGATGCCAAAACAGAACAGATTTAGAGAAAGCCGTGAAGCCTCTTCCCCATCGTCGGCGCCTCTTTGATGTCTGCGATCTTCTTGGCCGTGTCGAGCCAGCTACTCATGCTTCGCAGTGGAGGCAATTTGGCCTCCAAGTTGTTGCCGTCAGATGGAAATGCAAACACTGCTGGACCAATGGGCCAGCTTTGTTCACAAACCAAACTAAGCAGTGCTCATAGTTCAATTCGATCAACTCTGGGATGCCGCTTGCTTCTTGAACATCCATCAGTGCAACAATCAGTCTAATGGGTTGGTACATTTCCACAAATGTTGGCAAGTTTCATCGGGGGTTTGCAAGTTTGCTCACAGAGAAAAGCAGGGTCTTGGGATCTCTTGTGTCTCTTGGTCTTCACGGTCCCTTGAGTCCCAAGAGATATCCCTGGACGGCCTCTACATGCGTCACGTTGCTGAACTCCACCTGATGGAGAGGATTCCCTGTTTGCGAATCCTGATGTGGAGGTGATTCAATTGAAACTAAAGGGACAACACTGCAAAGGTCAGCCTCTACCAGCATCTCTAGGTGCTTGAACTATGATCATGATGTTCCTTGCGTCTTTGGCACGCAAAGACCCTCTCAGCGGACCCAAACCAATCGGATTCTCGATCTGAGACAGCCTCTGCTGTGCTCACGAGTCTCAATGCCAGCAGGCCGATTCCTCAGACGACATCGCTTGGACTTGTCCACAACCGATTACTTTTGCGGAAAGGGCAGGTGGGTAGCCCACCCCAACGCCGCACTAGTCAAACTGCTTTAAGTTGAAACTCATGGAAATTGCACAAAGTCTTGCACCGCCTCAAGACAGCCCAAGACAGCTCACAACAACTTGAAGTGTCTGGTAGCAAAGGCCCCGTTGAGACCATCCCACATGCAATGCATATGAGAGTCCCCATTTGAGCAGCATCATGTTAGCAAAGCTCCGCAAAACAGCTCCAACTATGCGATCTGAGCCCAGAGCTGCAACCTGTTTCACTTTAGTCAAGGGTCCCATGCTTTCTGAACAAAGAATCCCGATATAAATCAAAGGCAGGATGGTGCGCGTGCATCACACAACACCATTTTGGTTGTACACGCTCAAAGCATCTCAAAACCATCGCTGTAGACTGTATACTCCTTGCACAACATGCATGCTGACCATCATGACCAAGCTTGCTGGCAGTCAGTATGGCATCGATGACATGATTAGGGACCATGCATCTCATGCCAGCTTGTGAGAAATGCCCATGAGGTAGGTGTCTAAGCGTCCTTCTGACTTGGAATATCTTTTAAACTTACGCTTGCACAGAAGTTGTTCTTGAAGGCTTGTGCAAGGTCAAGAACTGGACTCGGGGTACAGCATCACTGGAATGGGCATGCTAAGGCAGCAACCAAGTGGCTGAAGCCCTTTTGCCATGCTTACAGGCTGCTTGCAGGTCACAAAGATGGGAGGTACCTCTGTTTTCGAAAGGAAAGTCCTTCCTTCCACTTTCCCAACTCTTGCCCCTGCCACATTGAACCTCACCTCAAAGGCCATGGCTTCAGTTCGCCTGCGCAAGACAAACGCTTGTCATTCGATGTCTGTTTCAGAGTTGAACAATGCTGCATTAGGGCCTGATGCAACTCCGAGGAGCCAACTGTTATGAACAACTGCACGACATAACAGTCGCTTGGGTTGGGCGAGGCGGTCAGACCATTGGCCTCAGGTTCCCAGGAAGATTTGTTGAGAGGGTCTTACACGTCCTCGGGTTTGATGTTTGTTAGCCATGGTCAATTGAGCAACGCATGGGTTATATGTCCATGGTTTGTCACTTGCAGCTTGCAGTTTCAAGTACAGAACCCATAGTAACCCCGGATCCTTTGCTCCATCGCCAGCAGCTCTTTTTCGCATCCGCCAAACGCTGCAAGAGCGCCACAGCCTCAGCTGTGGTCGCAGAGGTGCGGAAGGAGTCCTTAGATAGACTCCACGTGGCGACGCGTGGAATGGGTGATTCACTTACAATGACTCCGTGCAAACGTGCAAACGAGTGCACCCGCGCATTCCGGGTTGCTGGTTCCATGTTGGGCATACCGGGTCTGTTGCCTGATCCACTAGGTGAGCCCATCCACTTCAGGCTTGATGGTGCGTTTGCTTGAAGAGGCTTGAAGCATGGGTGTTCACTCTTGCCTTTGCAGGGTCTTCGGCAATCAATCATTTTGCTAACAGCTGCTCATTGAAAACACATACAAGATGTCGTTGTCTCTGGGGTGACAACTCTAGCACATGAAGAAATGCAAGTCTCAAAATGAACCTCAAGCACAATAAAGAAATGTCTTCCTGCTGGAAGTCTTCTGAAGTCCTCCCAGGATTCCTCATCTCCGGTGGTCGGTCTTTGCAACTTCCGGCTCACTCAAATCTCCAAGAGTCTGACCCCAGTTGGCGAACTCGACCAGCACTGTGCCCTTCAGCTTGCAACCCCTCCAAAAGCCGTTGGAGCTTCACAGGCGCTCGCCGCGCACGCCGCGCCAGTTCGCTCAGCCGCAACGTCCAGGGGCGCGGCGGCGGCCAAAGGCTCTCAGCGCGGAGAGTTGCCAGTAGCGGCTGGAGGCCTGGACAAAGCATGGCAAGGTGTGGTCAGCCATTTAAACCGCAGCAGCCCAGGAAAGGTGGTGCAGGAAGAAAAAAGAATGCAAAAAAGGAAGAACTGGGATAGACTGCTCGCCTGCTTGCCATCCACATCCACAACGAAGTTGCACGATGGCGCAAAAGAAAGAGAAGAAGTGAAACGATTTGAAAGCCCAATGAATCATGATGATGTTGGCTACCTCCATCCCTCCAGAAACAAATTTGCGACTGCGGACTTCTTTGGATCGCCTCCCCAGTCCCCTCGTGCCTTGGAGCCCGTACTGTTCTGCATCTCGCTGCAGCTCCTCTAAGAAGTCCTCCTCAGATGGCAAAGAAGGAAGAATCTGGGCTTTTGCCTCTCAAGGTTGACGTTTCTGATGGTTGTAGGGTTGTAGTTGTTGTTAGGTTGCTTTGTGATGGTGAAGCTCGCATCCTCCAAGTTGTTACCTGGTTGGTTTCTTGATCCGTTTCGGGGCCGGGCAATTGTTTTTTTGAAAGGCATCAATCTATATAAGAGTGGGTCAAAGTGTCACACAGAGCATGCAACTGGGAAAAAAGAGACAGCGGGCAGCGGGAAAGCCAGGGGTTCGAGAAAGGAGAGTGGAGAAGTACTCGGTGCAGAATCTAGCAAGTAACCTGCACGACCACCCACAATTGTCGGTTACACCCACGGACGTTTGACCTATACTAGGGGCTGATGACATCGGAATATGCTCAAATTATGACATAGGAATGTCCCTGAGGGTAGTCCTAAGTCATCAGCCAGTAGCAAACTGGGTGAACGCACCAAACTGAAGGATGACATAGGGTGTGTGGGCATTGTGCCAGCAAGTTTACCTTTAAAAAAAACCTTAAAGAAAGTACCCGCCCAAGGTGAATACATGACCAGGAAATGCTCAATGACTTAGTCACGCGCCTTGTTTGTTTTATGTCATCTACGACTTGCCACATGCTATTTGGCTGACATAGTCCTATGTCATATGTGGTTTAATGTCCAAAACCTCTTGAAATCCAGAAATTTTAAAAAACATGAGACAACATAATTGTTCATGCCAGGGCCCTTTTCGCACGTTTGGCCTGATGACATAGGGTTTGTGGCATGTAGTACCTTTCCACATGACATAGGCTTCTGCTACTTCGACTATAGTTTCACAAGCCCTATGTCATTGGCCCCTAGTATAACATCTTGTCCGAACAAGGCCTGGCGCTCATTTGATCCACGCAACAAGCCCTATGATCACCCAAAAAAGCATTGAGAAGGTCGGACATGCAAAGCCCACACTAAAAGATTCATAAAGATTCTATACACCTTGCGATTGAAAGAGACTGAACCTAACAAGAAGCTACTAGTAACAAAGGGCATCGCTACTAGGAGCAAGAAGCTACTAGTAGCTCCTGGCATTACTACTAGTAACAAGAAGCTACTAGGAGCAAAAGGCATCGCTACTAGGAGCAAGGACGCTACTAGTAGCTCCTGGCATTACTACTAGGAACAAGAAGCTACTAGTAACAAGTGCATCGCTTCTAGTAACAAGTGCCTTACTACTAGTAACAAGAAGCTACTAAGTCAACCCATCCCATACGCACGCTGGCGCGTATCGAACGTGCAACCCCATCACCACCCGTGCCAGAACCCGAGCGTCTGACTGCAGAGGGCCAACCCAGAGTGGCCCCCCAAAAGGCCTTAGAAAGGCAGCTATTGGTTATAAGTAAAAGAACGAACTAGTCAACATGATTCAAAATGCCTAGCCTCGGAAAGCCCCTACCCCAAATGATCACTTGCATCGTAAGCCACATCCTTTTTGGGGGTTTCAATGCCTGGAGATTGAACTCTGTGGGTAAGTGTGGGTGCATGTCAACACAAAAAGACGAACCCTGGACATCGTGAATCCTTTCCTGGGAGAAATCTGCAATCTCTACGCAACAGGACTGACTTTCAATCTCCATGAATCAATCCCCCTCCAATGCCCCGAGCCGCCCAATGTCTTGGAGGTCATGGCAGCTGGACCCACTCGGTCCGCACCACTCCGATCGAGGCACCACTTCACCGGAGCACGCCTCGCAGTTGCGGCTGAAGCTCTTCGCGCCTGGGAGGCATGTGGTTAGGATGGTCCAAATGGATGGAGTTTAGCAGAACCATGCGGTTTGGATGCAGTAGCTTGGTTTGGTGAGCCCCATGTATCTTGGTCACCCTCCATGTCGCCTGGCTTTTCCATGATTCGACAAAGGTTAAAAAGATCGCCACGACCGGGAAGGTCGGAGAACACACCCCAGTCATAGGTACATTAATTACTTCCAGAGAGCAAAGCAGTCAGCTTAAGTTTTCTGAAAAAGCCGCAGCCAAGCTACCAAACAAGGCCTCAGCTTCTATTGGCCCTACAAAGCTGCCGCAAGCGCAAAGGCCCACGCACTGTGGAAGCAACGAGCTCTCTCCGTAGCGTCGCGTCACCCGGAACATCAGACGGTAAACGTCTCCTGGGAGATGCTTGAAGGACAAGCAGTGTTGGACCTCGTGCTAAAGCCTGCTATATGAATTGATTGATCTAGATAAAAATTAAAAAATAAAAATAAAACAACGAAATGCACACACAAGAATTGGTGACTGTTCGACTTCTCAAAAGCAAGCCCAAAAGAGGTACCGTGGCTGTTGTTGATTCTAAGCTGGCAACTCCTTCAAAAATGATAGACTTCAAAGCCAAACTGTCGATAAATTGACTATATAATGACTATAAATTGACTATCTGAGATTATCTGACAGATCCAAAGCACCACTGGCTCGGTAGAGCGTGAACATCGTCTCCGCCACGAGGTTGAGCCGGTCAGCCGTCTGTGCCACGTGCCACACCAGTGCGCGGCACATCTGGTCGTGGATGGTCTCAGCCGGTGGGCAGCGGCCCAAACAGCCCAAGGCCCGAAAGGAGCGAGAAGGCTTCCAGGAGGTCAATCCCGTGGCGGTGAGATACAAGAGGCCACCTGCAGCTTCAGAAAACGAAAAGAAGTGCTCGCAATTTTTGCAACACTTTGGTTTTGTGTGTTTTTTGTGGTTCTAGACTTTAGGTGAATGAGGATGGGTGGGGTCTTGCTCACCCCACACCTGGCCGTACAGCTTCGAGCGCATCACCAATGTGAGTCCAACACCCGAAGGCATCCACATCAACCACATCGAATTGTCGATGCGTGGCGCGGCAATAGCCTGAGTGCCACAAACACTTGGTGCGAAAGCTGAAAGCTATGCAATCCGACGCCTTTCCGGGTCAGAAACCACGAAGTCTTCAGATCGCATCGAACATTCCCTTGCATCGACATCAGTCTTCGGTTTCACACCAAGTCGCCCAACAAGGCTCTGGCCTCCCAGTGCGTCACACGCCACCCAACGGCCACCGACGCGGAGTCTTTGTCCGCCTGCCTGCAAGACCTCCAGCCAGGGTGCGCCCCTGCCTCGGAACGCTCCAATTCGCTGAGTACTTTTGGGATGTAAAAAAATACAACAGTACACTTTACATGTGTCAAAAAAGGGAAATCTTCAGAACCTGCATGCAATGAAAAATCTTGGTCTATGGACAGGTTCGTAAAGCGCGAACCAACCGTGCGCAGAGAACTCTCTGCCGCCTCAAAACAAGTAAAGAGTAACAAAAGCGCTGGAAACTGCGCCAAGATCCTCACAGCCATGCAGTGGAAGGCCCTCTTGCAGTCGCCAGGACCGGGCCGGGGCGGCCCACTCCGGCAGCAGGTCATCACAGCGGCCAACCCGTCCCGTTCGTCCCGTCGCACGCGTGAGGTTCACCACCACCGCTTGATGCACATCCTGGTTGGCCTCGTTGGCCCAAATGAAGTCGCAGCTGCCTCACCAGGAGCCCCTAGTAGCATCCTTGCTCCTAGTAGCGATGCCCTTTGCTCCTAGTAGCTTCTTGCTCCTAGTAGTAAGGCCAGGAGCCCCTCGTAGCGTCCTTGTTTCTAGTAGCGATGAGCTGCAAATTGCCGTAAACCCCAGTAGCCAACTTCATCGGAAATGATAAGGCCTAGACCTGTTCATGTATGTTACTTTCTCACAAAGGGCCCTGTCTGATAGGTTCTGCAGGTGATCTCTCGAAACAAACCCATTGGCTGACGGAGTACTCTTGCCAGAACCGCCTCAACCTCGCCGAAAAGGTACATCACCCACAAATGAAAACCCCTCCCAAGTCCCATATTCCTGAATCATGCTGCTTGGCCCTGTTGAGTGCGTTCTCGCCAAACTATCCATGAGACCACATGAGACCAAAAAGCATTACAGTAAGGAAAAACACCCGACCTTCCGCCAGATACCTGGCCGCCCGCAGGCCGCTCCCAGCAAAGAGCTCCAGTACCGAGGCGTAGCCACGGCGCGCGCGCAAGATGGCGACCTTGGATGGGGCAATCAGGGTCATCTGACCTCAGGAACTATAGAATCAAATGAAACACCCAAATATCTTTGCAAATGAAATGAATGTTCATATATCCCGTTGTACATGTGCTGGCTATGTCATTGTTGAGCCAGGCAAAACACCCTCACCATTTGATGACAAGTAGCAAAAAGATTGAACTCTTCTCAAGTTCCCATTCCTCTACTTGGCTTCCCCACTAGCATTAGTAACTAAGAGGTCCCAACAAGCAAATCTGAGGCGCTGCCAGCACGCCCAGGTCTCGTGCAGCCTTGGCCTCGGCTCGGAAGAAGGCCTCGGGTGGTAGCTCAAAGCTCACGGAGCCCTCCTGACGGTCCAAACTGGTCCAGCCAGTGCCTCACTGGTGAGTGGCCACACCTCGAAAGCGGAGTCTAAAGAAAATAGCCACCAGGAGCTGGAGCACTCTTCCTCTACTGGTCGGCTCACTGGTGAAACGCATAGGTCCGGTCCAAACAGCTTCGCCAGCGCATGAAATGCTTGCTGTCTTTCTGATGTGTGCAGCGCAGGGAAGTTCGGTCCTGCCGCCGCTGGTCCGGCTGCCACCGCTCTGCACCGGAACGTTGCTTCCATCGCCACCAGGCCCACGTGACGAGGAGAACAAAACCTCGATCATCTTGGCATGAGGTGCTCTCAGGCTACAGCAAACATCCTTCATCCAAGAGTTCCCCTTTTCCTCTCTCAACTGGAATTTGTACTTCTCTCAGTTTCCTCCCAGACCGCATTCCCAAACAAGCCTGCTGCATGTACATGAGCGATATGACAGCGCCAGGACATGCTCGGGCATGTGTCAAGCCAGAACACCAGCCATGAACACTTGTAAGTAGGTCATCTTTACAAGAATGCAATGCTGCAGCCCGAACCTAGCGCTTAGGTGTAAGCTGCTTGAGGCCTTGCTCTTTTGGTGACTAGTCCGTTCCAAGTCTCCTGCATATTGAAAACAACGTTCTGCCTATGTAGGGCCGATTGCTTCCTAATTTGGTTGAATCCAAACAAGCTGCAAGGCTTTGTCCATGATGCACCTGTCATTCAAATCCAGGGCTTCGGAGGTCGGCTATTGTGGCTGCGGCAACTGACTTTGTTGGAGTGTGGGGATCCCGGCACACCTGCTTCGTCCAAGCTAAACATCCACCTCTCTTCCTTGCTCTTTGGTAAGGCAACGATTCATGAATAAACTATATAAATACCTCTGAAACTCCCGTGCTTCGATGAAACCCATCCAATGATCTCGCCTCGTAGCCACCTGGTGCAACGCAGCAGCAAGGATCAAAAACATCTGTGTGAAGAAATCTGAACCAGTGGATGGTCGTGGAGGCTGTGGTGAAGGAATCAGTGTCTAGTAGCCATCACAACTGGAGCAGGCTTCGGTTTCCGTCACGTTGCATGTTGTGGCATTCTGCAAGAGTAGCTGAAGGAAGGTATTGTTGGTTGAGTAGAGAAGTAGCGAATGCAACAAACTCTTTTCATGTCCACATCTGAGTGCTCCGCATTCTCAGACCCTTCAAGGTGACCTTCAACCCACAACTTCGCTCGGCTCGACAAAAACAGCATGTGAAACCAGAAAAACATGGAAAGGATTGAAGCAAGCTGGCGAAAGAGCAGCAGGATGACAAAGAGATTGCAGCACTGACAAATGCATTTTTTTCAGATCAGCATGCCAAATCATACCAACCTGTCAGCCCCAACAAAAAGTTCAATCCTCATTGAGTGTTTCAATGAATGCAGTGCTTCCGGCCTCTGCTTCAGTGCGGTGGCACACTTCATGAGCAAGGGCTCTGCAACATTGTGCTGTCAGATATCTTGTTATTGATCTTGTGCAAAAACTCACTGACAGGGGACCCTCTAGGTTTCTTTCGAGAAATGAACAAACTTTATATGGTTTCTTCAATGACGCACTCTTCTTGAGGCATGCTCTGACATCTTGCACTCAGCACAATATATTCTCCACACATTCCCGCATTTGATAGATGCACCTGTCCTGGTCCTACCACGGAATTTTGCAACGACAAGCGACCATCCCAGAAGCTGTGTCAAAACGGAGACCACAATAGGCTGCAAGGGCACGGCAAGACTGCAAGCCTGTTTGTGTGTGTGTGTCTCACCCTGTCTTTAAAGGTCACCAACATTTGTTTGCCAGCCAATGTACTCATGTCCGTTGTGCAGTTTCAACCAAGCAGGGGGCCAGGACTCCCTGGTGCGCGTCCTGGCCAACGAAGACCGGCGCCAGGGAGGTGCAAACGTACCTGCTTTAGTTAAACTGTTTCACCCTTTGGAATTGCTGTGAATCTAAGTATGGCAAAAGCTGACTACTGCGTTGGTTTTTTGCATTAAAGGGCTGTGTGTGTGTGTCCAGCCCTGTTCCGAAGGGTTACTTCACTCGCCTTTCCTCCCAAGTTCAAGCAGGGGGGCAGTGAATCTCATTCCATCCACTGCCCAACGAAGACGGTGGTTTGAGATTGTGAAGCGAGAAAGGACGCTTTCTCGTGCACCTGCTGAGTGAACCGTTGCTCAAGCTGTCTAATTTGATCGGTTTGTTTCATGGTCCTTCACGCTACCTTCCCCAAACCTTTTTCCTTCAGCCGCCTTCAGCTGCCGCGCGTTCATGAACTGCAGATGTGCACAAACCATTTTTT